TTTTTTTTTTTTTTTTTTTTTTAACTGAGCTCTAGTTTAAGACATGGTCATTGCAATCGGATGCATCTGGCTCTGGCCGTAAATGCAGTCAGATGCATTGAACTCCGGCCGTAATTGCGGTCAGATACGTCCTTGCGTCGTGAATACGTACCGAGTGGCTTAAGCACCACCACCGAGCTTAGCCTATCCCTTCATGGACGTCAACACAAAATTTAATCAGACAAGTCCACAGGCACATCACATGCACCTGTGTGTAATCCACCCAACACTTTGATCGTTGCTTACTTTCTTTTTTTTTTTTTTTTTAAATAAACCGTTGCTTACTTTCGCTCGAGGCATTACGCATCGAAAATGCCGATTCCAAAAAAAAAAAAAAAAAAAAGCCTGTTAGGGGACAGGGGGTGCGCTGGGAGTAGTAACGTGGGGATGGGTAGGGTAGGTGGCCTATCCTGTCAGGAGGACAACCACTGGCTGCCGCTCCTACCATAGCAATCATCGCGGGTCTGGTCCTTGGCCTCTACTACAACACCCTGGCTTTCTAAAAAGGAAATATACGAAAAAAAAAACAAAAAACTACGGGCATCCCTCCAGAAAAGATCGGATATTAAAGTGAGGAATTCCCGGCCTCATGGTTCATGATAATGGATTCGTTTTTTTTCCCAACAAAAAAACAAACAAAATAAAAAGTGTGTAGACACTTCGGGCGCTTCTTGTCTTGGTGGCAGGACCCCGACACCGCGTTTGGGCCGATGCCAGACCCTGCCTCCTTCCCTCAGGACGTCAGGACTATTAAGCTTGGTGGCGCTCAAGCCACTACGTTACGATGCCAGAACTGGCCAAAGAAAAGAAAAGAAGGAAAAAAAAAAAAAAAAAAAAAAAAAACGATGCCAGAACTGGCCTCCTCAGGACTCCAGGACTACCAGTAAGCTCGGTGGCACTTAATCCACCAAGGGCCGAGTCCCACTAGCGGAGGTTTTGTTCCTGCTGCTGCAATTACTGTGCGATAGTGCGCAATGCAGTGAGGAAGACGAGTGACACAATAGGAGGGAGAAAAAAGCACACAATAGGAGGGAGAAAAAAGCAAAAGAAAAAGAGAGAGAGAGAGAGAGAGAGAGAGAGAGAGAGAGAGAGAGAGAGAGAGAGAGAGAGAGAGAGAGAGAGAGAGAGAGAGAGAGAGAGAGAGAGAGAGAGAGAGAGAGAGAGAGAGAGGAGGGGGGGATTCAAAAATCTGTAACGATGAGACAGACTGAAAACTGGCCAATGACTGTGGCTGGGCACCTGCACTGTTGGCAGTTAGGACCTTGTCTTCACTAATTAAAAGGGAAAAAATGAGCTTACGACAGCGATAAGAGAGCAGCGATTCAAAATGGGACCGGTGGTCCTCCTCTCTGTAGCCCGACTATGGGGTGGGGACCACTCTCTACACCTGTGAGCCAAAACGTGGCGATTCGGAAATGTTTGGCCAATGGAAAACCGTCTCAGTATGGGTGCCCTTACCTCAAATTGCTTCGCGAAAAAACCCCTCTGCCTGCCTATGCACCCTACGATCGCTCCACACATCAGTGGTGAAAAAAAAAAAGATGTCATACACATCAACCAAGGGCCCCAACCCCAGAACAAAACCCCCACTAGTGGGACTAGTGGGACTAGAGGGACTTGGGCCCCCCAAGTGTATGACCTGTGATCTCTGCATCAAGCTCTATGATCCTTAAACTCGTTTTTATAAAGTTAAAAAAAGTCGTTTTTAAGATCCAAACTTGTTTTTTTTTTCTTTCCCTACATCAAAACTCGTTTTTTGTCATCAAAACTCGTTTTTTGTCCCCCCCAAAAAAGAACCAGCTCTTTTTTCTTGTTTTTCCTCCCCGGCTTTACACCCCCCCCCCCCCTTAACTATGTTTGTCATCCTTGCACAGGGGCCATGCTAATCTTCTCTGTATCGTTCCAACTTTTGATTATTTTTATTTATTTATTTATTTTATTATCGTTCCAATTTCAACGGATGTTCCAGAGGACAAATTCTTGAACAGAATTTGCAATGGACCATTTTCTCGATTTATGCGTGTCATCATCCTTATTTTCGCAGGGGCCCCATGCTAGCTAATCTTCTCCTGAAAAAACAAAAATTGTTTTAATCTTTTAAGTTAACTGATGTCCCGAAGGACCAGTATTTTTTTTTTTATTTTTTTTTTTTTTTTTAACCGGGAAACGGGTCCGGCGGAAGGACCAGTTTTTTTGTGTGTTTGTGGTGTGAGGATATTCCCACTGCCACAAGTTAGCTGCTCACCTCATAACTCATTTATAATTATAAAATCAAAAGACGTCCTTTTAGATCAAAACCAGGGCTACCAGCCCTGCCGCCCAGGTTACCTTGTTCGCCCAAGAAACAAAAAAAAAAAATCGGGGAAAAAAACAAAAAAGAAAACTATGATATGCAGAAAAATCAACTGAACAACCTTTGCCTCAGGGTCACATTGAAATTCTTTACGAAATTCAAAATAAAAATTAATACTTAATAATAGAGGTTACCTTGTTTGCCCGGGTCCCAGCAATAACCATCGAACTGCTGTCTTCCATAAATCGAAGCCAGCCCTGCCTATAAACAAACAAAAAGAGAGAGAGAGAGAGAGAGGAAAATAAAGGTGGGTATGGCAAAAAAATAGAAACTGCCAGCTGAAGCCAGCGTGGTTGAGACCAGAGGACAAGGCAAGGACAGCAGGAGAGAGAGGAAGACTTAGCACGAGGAGAGAAAGGAAGACTTAGCACGAGGAGAGAGAGAGAGAGAGAGAGAGAGAGAGAGAGAGAGAGAGAGAGAGAGAGAGAGAGAGAGAGAGAGAGNGAGAGAGAGAGAGAGAGAGAGAGAGAGAGAGAGAGAGAGAGAGAGAGAGAGAGCACCTTTATCCAACCGGATAGGGAGGAGAAGGCTAGTATGCATGCACAGGAAGAGAAGCAGGAAGGATAGCGTGTCAGCGAGCGAGCGAGCGAGAGCGAGAGAGAGAGAGAGAGAGAGAGGGGCGGGGGGCAGACAGAAAGGAGGGAGGGAAGGAGAAACATACACACACACGCTCAGACTTACTGCCGTTCTTGTCACTGACAGGGGTTTGGACCGGCAGTCTGTTAGGATTGCAGGGTTGGTGTGAGAGTAAAGTCGACCACTTTTCTCTCTCTCAGGGATGGCTATCGCTAACTGTTAGTGGGCGACGTGGTGAGTCCTCATCCATCAGTCAGTCAAATGCATCCTCAGCTGGCCCGACTGTCTGTCCAGGTTCAACCTCCTCCTCCTGATGATTCGGTGTAACTCTGACGAAACAGTCCGGCACAGTCATGTTTTCTGTTAGTGTATAGCGAATATGACCACACACACACACACACACGCACAAAAAAAAAAAAAAAAAAAAGCAGCGGCAGCAGATCGCGTGGAAATCGGAGGACGAGAAGGAGCTGTGATCAGGATTGAGCGGGAAAAAGGGAAAAAAAAAAAGTTTTGACGAAACGGGTACAAAGAGGGAGAGAGGGCGCGAGAAAAACACGGACACAGACAAAGGGAGACAGAGAGACGAAGAAGAAGAAGGAGAAGAAGAAGAAGAAGAAGAAGAAGAAGAAGAAGAAGAGGGAGAAGGAGAAGGGGAAGAAGAGGAGGAGGAAGAAGAAGAAGAAGAAGAAGAAGAAGAAGGAGGAGGAGGAGGAGCAAGAAGAAGAAGAAGGAGAGGAGGAGGAGGAGGAGGAGGAAGGTCACATAGGCACAGAGAGAGGGAGGGAGGGAAGGAGGGAGGAAGAGACGGAGAGAGAGAGAGAGAGAGAGAGAGAGAGAGAGAGAGAGAGAGAGAGAGAGAGAGAGAGAGAGAAGCAGAAGGTTCAGTTGTGGGTTGGAACACAGCTGGAGGGGGAGAGGAGAGGCCAGAAGAGCGGGAGAGAGATCGAACGTACCACAAGAGAGTCGAGTGCAGATCTCTTCCTCTCTCTCTGTGCGTAATCGCCTGCATGAGCGTAGCTGCCTCATATTAGACAAGCATCGTCCTCCACGCTTGGCACTCCTGCTGCTCGCGGAGCAGCATCCTGTCGGTCTGACAGGTCCTCTGACAAAATTGTCAGAAGCAGTTTGGCGGGTGACTCTGTGCGACGGACAAAAGAACTCCGAGGTTGAGTGGCACCTCCCTTCAGACAGACAAACGGAGGCGCTAGGAATTGTGCGACAGCGGTGCGACTCCGACGTGGCCACATCCCATGGTACCGCGCTCCCTGCCGCTCCGCCTACTACGACTACTCTGCCTGGTCTTCCTATCATCCCTCCTCCTCCTCCTCCTCCTCCTCCTCCTCCCCCTCCTCCACCTCCTGCCCCTCGTCCTATCACCGTCGGTGCCCAATGCGGAGAGGAAGTAGAAACCGCGCCAGAGCAATCTTGTGTGCCTTCACGCAGGCATTGCTGCCATCGACACGTGGAACACGCTTGACTAACCGCCATAGCCACTCTCCCAATCAGTCAATCAATCAATCAATCAATCAATCAATCAATCAATCAATCAATCAAAGGAACCAATCAATCAATCAATAACACTAATCACGCGCCAAGGTCGACGTGCCGACGCGACCAACAGACACGTCAGCAACGCCCAAGTAGACAACTACTCGCGCTCGCAATCCACCCCCCTTCTCCTCTCTCTCTCTCTCTCTCTCTCTCTCTCTCTCTCTCTCTCTCTCTCTCTCTCTCTCTCTCTCTCTCTCTCTCTCACGGCGCGATTCAGTCNAGAGAGAGAGAGAGAGAGAGAGAGAGAGAGAGAGAGAGAGAGAGAGAGAGAGAGAGAGAGAGAGAGAGAAATCAATCAATAACTCGATCAATTAGGCAATCAGAATGGACCGTTCAAGCAGTCAAACACGAACCTAGGCGACTCAGATGGACAGATGCAGACTGATTCTAATTCAATTTACAGGCTACGCTGTCTCCCTTACTTGGCGCATATATTCACTGAATTCACCAAAAACCCGGTGACCTGTTTAATTCCCGGTCCTTCGCGTTCACATTCACATTCTGAAACAAGGAGGAGAGAGAGGGTGACACTGCTCCTGATAGCCAACCGACGTCCGCATAACGAACCACCTCTCTCTCTCTCTCTCTCTCTCTCTCTCTCTCTCTCTCTCTCTCTCTCTCTCACACACACACACACACACACACACACACACTCACACACAGAGTACAGGCGTCCGCTGGCTCTGTCACTACCTGGATCTCGTGCTTGCAAGGGTGGAGCTGAGAGAGCGAAGCGTGCCGGACAGGAAAGGACCGGGCCGAACGAGAGGTGATAGACCGGCCAAACAAACGACCAACGGATACGACAGACCAGACCGGCCGACCGGTCGGCCGTCCCGTGCGTTGCGACGGGGACGGATGGATTATGGACAGCCACACGCGGGAGCCGACGTCGAAAGCCAACCAGCAGCAGGGCGCGGAGGAGGAGAGCAGGAGGAGAGAGTAGGGGACGAGGAGGAGGAGGAGGAAGAGGAGGAGGAGGAGGAGGAGGAGAAGATGGGAGGAGGACGTGAGAGGTGGACGGAGCAGTTGATGAGAAATAATTTTTCAGACGTTCGGTGGGTGAGATCGCGCTGTGCAACGCTTCTGATCCCTGCAACATGAATACAGTATCCAGGCCTACTTCGCTTCTCCTTCTTTGGTTTTTATTTATTTAAATATTTATTTATTTATTTATTTAATTATTTATTTATATGTTCTCTCATTTGTTTATTGGTTTAGTTGTTTTTTTGTTTTGTTGTTTATTTTTTATTTTTATTTTTTTTTGGTCCTTTGTGAGAGATTCGTCTATCGTGGGGAGGTTCAGTATACACATGGAACGCTTCATCACTTGATGTATCAAAATAATAATAACATGTGGTGGGGGTACCGCCTCGAGGAAAAGGTGGGGATATGTAGCCATTGCTGTTAGGGCGGCCATTATGAATGTGATTTGGAAATTAAGAAATGGTAGACTATTCAGGAACAAATTCTACTCAGATTTGTTTATTCTGCAGACTGTCCTGGGGAATGTTAGGGCTATGATCTGGGCGGACTAGATGAGGCAGGCAAAAGCAGTTTCGAAAAGGAGTAGACATAGACGGTTCTTCTCCACCTGGGGCCTGAATTCCATCTTGGTGAGTAGGAGCAAACGAGGAGGCGTAGTCCTGTCATCGTGGCTCCTGGGCCCGAGGCCACCATGAATGGAAGGTGGAACAGTACCAGAGGTACTACTAGAACATGCTAAAAGCAGGATTGCTAGGGGGACTGAGGACCGGGCTACTTCAAGAGTCGCTAGAATGAGACCGAACTATCATAATAACTTAATCAGGATTTGTTAGAATCAGTCTTGCTGTTTAGCAGGACAGGAAGGTGCTCCAGCTAGGAAGGATTGGGCTGAGGCTAGATTTTCAAGG